CACTATAACCTTTACAGGTGAACTTAATTTGACCGTCTCTAAACTTTTGAATGCATATGTCCAACTGTTCAATATCTCAGTACTTATTGCATAACATGCTGTTCTCAAACAAGGTGATTAGGTGTGAAAATCACAACAAGTGTCTGATGACAAGTGTCCATGAATTGCCCACTAAATGTTCTGGTTTAATATCAATTTGTATTTAAACAGTCCTCTTCATCATGCTGTTCACATTTTGACATCATGAGACCAAGACCACACCTAACAATGGATCAACAGTATCGAGGTTTCAAACGGGATGTACTCAGAGGGAAGTTTCACTGAGCTTAAAGTGTCACAGAGTGTCATCAGCAGGTTGCAACAGAGACACAGAGAATGGAAAAGTCACAGAAAGGCATAGAAGTGGACATTTGGCCACATCTCATGCTGATGATGCTTCATTGTACACAGCGCCCTGTGGAACCGGATGGTGAATGCCACTCCGCTCCAGGCACGTTTAAGGGAGATGAGATGCACCCCAGTGATCATTCGAAACTGCTGATATCAGCATGGTCTGCGTGCTAGACAATCTGCAAGGGTAACGGACCACACCACCAGGCACAGGTGTTATCGTATTGCATGGGCCAGGGAGCATTTGCGCTGGACAAGGAACCAGTGGGCCTCAGTGCTGTTCTCTCAATTCACATTAATCAGAAATGATGGCCGCCAACGCTGTTGGAGACATCAAGGAAAACACTATGCATCAGTCAGCCACTCATCGAGGTCGCATCATCAGGGAACGGCTGCTGGAGGCTGGGGTACCTCAAATGATGTGGCCTGCACTTGCTCCAGACCTGAATCCCTTAGAAAACCTATGGGATCAGCTGAGTCGTCATGTAGACACGTCACGCTTTTACGCATTCAGTCATATGGTAACGCAATGTGCACGCTGTAGACACGTGTGCGCATCAAAGTCAAAGTCAAAGTCAGCTTTAATGTCAGTTCTTCACATGCACCAGACATACAAGGAATCAAGAGGATGTTTTTCATTCACCCATGGTGAAACAGATAAAGGGCACAGGCACAACAGATTAAGAACAGCAATTCTATATAAAATTTAAACACTTCAATTACACAACAGACATATATACAATAATATAAAATATACAATACTTTATGGTAGTGCAAAAAGGCAGATGGTAATGGCAGCAGAAAAAATTAAATTTGTAACAGTAACAGTGTAAAAGAACCGTCAGTAAAAAAAAAAAACTAAATACATTTTAATCTATTCATGAATATAGTCTGTGGTGATAGTAATGGTGAAACTAATAATAATAGTAGTGCAGCATGCATACATTCCCACACACACGTATTCACACACCCACACAAACTTAATGCCTCAGAACTTGTGTGGAGAGAGGAGGAGGACATAGTGCAAGTGCCCCATTATTGGAAAAAGCAAGTATTTTCTCCATTTGCCATATATGGTAAAATGACGTCACTGGGCCTCGAATTAAGCGGAGAAATGAGAACATCCATGCTGCAGCGGCCAAGGGTTCGAATCCGACCTGCGGCCCTTTGCTGCGTGTCATTCCCTCTCTCTACTCCCCTTTCCTGTCTATCTTCAGCTGTTACTCAATAAAGGCAATAAAAGGCCAAAAAAATATTATATTATATATTATTCGAGCAGGATCAAAAATAGTGTTTGGAATGATTTTAAATCTACACATTTTTGTGCGAAGGGACATTACCACGTCCACGTTGTTCTCAATAGGCTTAAATAAAAAATAAATGAAAACAATTGAGAACACTCAAAAATGCACAACTTTGCATAATTACTCAACAATATGCATAAAAAAAGGATAAAATATGCTAGAAATGAAAAGTCAAAAACACAAAAATGTGCTTGGGATGCATCAAAGGGATATATTCATGGGAAAATAAAGAATAAAACACCAGCAGGGGGCGCACTCAGTCTGCAGTCATACTGTAACAGCAGCAAACGGAAAAGGTGAAGAAAGAGCGGAACCACAGTGACAGCCTAGCAAACATAACCGGACTGCTTTTACCAGCGCACTCGAGTAGCCTCCATGACAGGCAGCAGTTGACAATAATACCAAGGTAAACACATATTTCTCTGTTATTGTAAGGTGGGACAGACACACAGACGGACTGTCATTTCTTCTGTACGGACCGTCTGTCTGTTAGTAATGTGTCCAATGTGCAGCCAGCAGTAACGTTAGTACTCTATTAATTCTTTAATGTGAATATAACGGCGTTCTTAATACACAGCATTCCTCTCAGAAACTACAAAGAACTACATTTGGAATTGCTTTGATAAGTTGTTTCTGGTGGAATTTGTGTCGAGTATGTGTGAATATTTAAAAACGACTACTGTGGTGAATAAGTTAACGTTAACATTAACTGTCAGCCAAAGTCATTCTTCCCAGAAGTTTCAATATGGATAACATTAATGTGTGCTAACTTTAACGAAGCTAACCAGCTAATGTTAATATTACTAACGTTAATACATAATGTAACATTAGTTTTCTTTTAACTGTAAGGACTGTAAAATGTGTAACACATGTTACAGTCCTTACAGTTGTGTATGTGGCTTTGGATTCATTAGGAAATAAAGTGTTACTAGTTCCTCAAGAAATAACACTTTTCAAAAGTAATATTATTACTTTACTTATTACTCCCTGCCAACAGTAATTGGTTACACTACTAGTTATATTACTTCTCTGCTACACCCCATAAGATTGGTGATTGTGTCCCTTTCTCAGTAAAATTCAGACTTAAGATAATTAAAATCTAGTTTTATTTGTTAAAATGAATGTAATGGAATATTTCAGCTGCTGATTGGAAGTGTTTTCCTCCACAGTTACAGAAATCTATTCAAGACTGTGATTGGATTGTTGGATTTAAAATTAGTGACAACCAAAATAAGGAAACTAAGGTTATAACTACTTTTTTGATGTTGCTGTAATATTATTACTTCAATGTATTAGTTACACTACTAGTTACTAGGGAAAGTAATTACTGTAATATTATTACTAGTAATGAGTTACTGCATTAGGCACACACAGACTAACAGATAGAATGAAGAATGCAAAAAATAAAAAAATAAAAAAGAATTATATAGACCAGAATTCCCTCTCCTTCTTATCTCCCCCATTACTATCATTGCGGGGTTTTTTTTGTAGTACAACACAATATGAGAAACTAAAATTCTATTTCAACCCAGCTTGACTGTGACTGTCAGATCCAGTAGGTATCAGCAGTGACAGGGTGTGTGCAGTCTTTAAGAAGTCTGCTCCTGATCTGTTTTGCAGTTGATGTTTGCCTCTCTGTCCACAATGATGTCTCATGGGTTCAAGAGCAGTAAGCAGGACTTCACCTTTGGACCATGGAAAGTGACTGCTGCCAAAAACCACATCATGAAATCCAAAGACATTGAACGGTGAGATGTTTTAGCTATGTTCAACCCAGCTCATCTTTATTATATTCTGCTCTATGTATGTATAATAGGATGCACTGATCTACAGTTGTGCAGCCAAAAAAGCATTGTCCTGTGTCTTTGAGTCAAAGATACCTGGGGGTTCTTGGGGGTACGTCTATGGCAAAATTTGCAGTTCCACATTCCCAGGGGACAATGAATATTTTTGTTACCTTTAGGAATGAGCCAATTTTATCCACATTGAGTGCGGTTCTCATGGCAGGGTCTGGCATGTGGAACTGTCATGTTTCTACAGTAGCCCAGAACAGACAAACCATATAGGGGCTCTAGATAGGTCCTTTGGTGTTTTACGTGGGCACCGTTGTTTCTCCTTCATGTTTGGTTGAGTTGTAGGGTGTGCAATCTGCAACTTCTTCCTGAGCATGTAAGTGTCTGTAAGCAGTTTTTCTGTTTGTCTTTCCAGGTTAGCGGAGGAGATGAACATGCCCTCCCTCCCAGAGATGCTGTTTGGGGACAATGTCCTGCGCATCCAACATACTGATGGCTACGGCATCGAATTCAGCGCCATCAACGCTCTTAAGAGAGTCAACAACATGGAGGATGCTGTCAAGGTGGCCTGTGCTCAGGAATGGCAGGAGAGCAGGCAAGATGAGCTTCACAGTGTGTTCCCAAAGGCTGCTTTCATTAACATTGGATATGTAAAACAGCTGTGGTCGACTAACCAGACACTGAGAGCTACACAAAAAAACCATGCTACTTTAAGGGCATGCTGAGTAAGATTTAAAAAAGAAATAGATGTGTCTGTATCTCCAGAGACCCTGCATCCCTTTTCCTGTATTTTCTTATGTTGCTGTGTGCGGGACCTTTCGGGTTGTCAGGCTTTGGGCAGCCTGTAAGGAGTTCGGGAACAATCAGATTACTGTCTTTGTCCTCGTCTCTCCAGTGCTCGCACAACACTGAAACAAAGTGTGGAGAATGGATGTATGAAGATCTGCAGTCTGTCTGACAGAGGGCAGGGCTGACCTACACACACTAACACACACCTTCTGCGGGGTTGTGCAGAGGTGCTGTAGAATGTAACTGCTGTGAAAACAATCATAAAATAATGTTTTATTTTCTCAGATTTTATTTTGCTCCTTCACTCCACTCAACTTTTATTTTCAATTTGATTCAAAAGGCTTTATTGCCATGACATTTGACGTGTTGCCAAAGCACAATTACTGTAATAACAATATTATAGAATGAAATTTACAAATGGTGCCCCATTTGTAAGGAACATGCATTTGTGGGATGAGCAGCAGAGCTGAGTATGTGGGTTGCGCCCATGAAAAATTTGCCAAATCTTCTCTGCCAATGCCAAACAGCTTATTCTGCCATTGACTCGTTTGGTGTTTGGTGGATTGGATCTCCAAACTGAAGGCCAAGTTCCATATAACGGGGATGTCAAAGACAGGCCGCGAAGTGGGCCGTCCCAAGAAGACGACACCCCAAGAAGACCATTTCCTCACCCTGTCAGCACTTAGGTGCCGTAAGGCTGTCTTCTACGGATTTGCAGTCAAGGTTTGCAGGACGATATGGCCGACGGCTCTCTGCCCAGACAATCCAGAACAGACTACACGCAGCCAATCTCCGGTCTCATAGGGCTGCCAGGAGTCCTGCCATGACTGCCCTTCACCGTCAGGCCCGTTTGCGCTGGTGTCGGCAACACGTGCACTGGAACCTGAAC